CGGAAAGAAACTACAAAAGAAATCCTCAATATAAAAACCTTAAAATATTAATAACTTAAAATCCTACAATCCAAAATCTCCAATCTTTTAACAACTCGGGAATCCATCTCTAGTGGACCCCTAATATAAAAATCCCAAACTGAATCAAAGTAAAACTGAAGATAAAATCCAAGTCGAACATCTGGAAAGAGATCCTACATCGTCGGAAGAATGAGTGACCGTCTCTGCTCAGTACGAACAAGCTCAAGCATGGAACTGACGTACACCTGTAAAATAGGAGTGGGTCAGGCCCACGAATAAGTTCTATCATACTGCAATCCAAGCAGAGACCCGATACGCATGTACATACTAAATAGTTCAACAATAACTAATAGTCCATACATAAATATATATCCACACTACTGGACTCTCACTAGACTATGAAGAGGGTCTCAACCTGAATAGAAGGCATCACACAAATCGCACCTGAGTGGGTATGAGTACCTAAGCCTAAACAGGGTATACCTCAATCCCCACAGTCAGCTACACATCCAACTACATATACGCATCCTAACCGTTGACTCTGAGACTCAAGCTCATGTCACGGTACCGTAAAAATATATTTAAACTCCAATTCCATCCATCCACAAGAAATCCATTAAGTCGTTCGGTGTAATCAACCGCACCGACTTACATACATATAAGGAGGATTTATTTAATAACCCGTACCCTCATTCCAAATAGGTAGGACTTAGCAACTTGTGCTGTCCAAACCTAGTATGTCACCGTCCCATACCGGTACATACAAACCAATCCATCCAACAGTTGATATCAAACATAAACAATGCACATAGCAACTGAGCCGTAATAAGCATAAATAGAGATATAGACTAACATGTTTACTCCAGTAATTGATAACCCAAAATCATAAGACATATCAATTAATACCATGATGAATATAAAATAAATATATAGGTTATCATATTCATCCCATATCTCCATTATAAATTATCATATTTCTGAGCATGCAGATAATTCATCATTCTCGTCCACGAATCCATGACAAGTACAATAAACTTAACTATATTAATTATCATGCTTGTCACTATTAATAGCATCATAATAATCCATTTTCCATCCACAGAGAATATAAATTAAGTTCAGTAAAATTATAATTTCTCTGCACTATAATGAACAACTTCCGTCGATGCTTACTAATGTTTAAGCTATAAACACATATTGGTTTATTAAACTTTAATCCACTCTCACAAGTGTTAATTAGACTTAGAACATCTCAAAACACCCAAGTATAGCTTCCTACAGCTTCTGAAAAATCCAAAATCCGAGTTCCGTAGCCAAATTGGTCGCAAAATAAGCAAAATTGGAAGCCCGTGAAAGAGCCTGCTCTTTTAACTGAAAGAGCCTGCTCTTTCTTTGCTTAGAGCCTGCTCTTTGGTGGCAAAGAGCCTGCTCTTTGCTTCTATGAGCCGTCTCTTTGCAAACTTTAAGTGTTTCTTCTCTGTTCTTCGTACTTAGAGTTCTTAAGTGTCTAAATTAGATTCCAATGTGCTTCAAGAAATATTTTAATTCCCTATTCAATCAACACTATCCCTTAAACAGGAAGTACACAGAGAATTCACCAAATTCATACATCTCTGTAAGACACACAGAAATACTTCCACAGACTTTTAATATTTAATGCTCTGAGTTCAATTCTGTATTATTCTGTTCTTGGAGACTTTAATCCTACTCTAAACCATTGCTAAACCATCCATTACAGTCATAATTCTATTTAGAAAAACTTAGAAAATCAACCCCCAAGAAGCCACTTTACTGAAAACTGAAGACACCACAAACAGAACGTAGTAAAAACTGGAAAATAAAAGTAGAGCTGGCTCCCCAAATATTGGAGCCGCCTCCAATAGCCTTGGAGCCGCCTCCAATTGCCTAGGAGCCGCCTCCACCTCAAGGAGAGCCGGCTCCCATCAAGGGAGAGCCGGCTCTCCCCCTCCTCTGCCTCGTGTTCTCTTTTCCGGCTACGTTTAACCCTTCTACAGATCACCGTTTTGATTTCCAGAAATTTCTAAGTAATTCCCAGTAAATTCTAATGTTGGTTTAAGCCTTGATTATCTTTACTAATACGGATTTAACCAAGCACAATGCAAGATCAGTTCCAAGCTTTAACAGTTTATCAAACCAAACCTACGATTAACAGTTTGCGTCCTAGTAACAGATAGCCTATCTATTTTTGTTTTAAAATCATATAATAAACCTGGAACCAATTTAATATGCAAAGAACACGAGTATAAGGGAGAGAGTAAGGTTAGAACTTGCCTTTGAGATCTTTGTTCAAAATCTCTACGCCGTCTCTAAAGCTTTCCGACGATTCCCACTGCAAAACTACTCTGTTGCTTCTCTATCTCTAGAGACGTGAATAGGGTTTTGTTTGTTTTCTAAAACCCTATACAGACATCTCACATATATTTATAGGGTTTTACTAAACCCTAGATTAATTCCAACCCTCCTAAAAATCCTCACCGACCCAAAGAAACCTAATAAAACCTACGTCGGCAACAACTGACTTTTAAAACAAAACCCTATTTAAAAATACAATTAAATTAAAATAATTACCACTTAAATTAAATTAACCAAACCATTTTATTAAATTAGATTAAATCAATTAAACAGTTAAATTAAATCAAGTAAAGCATTTAATCCTAATTAAAAAAAAATAACTAAATGCAATCAAACCACAACCATGAAAACAATTAAACTAAAACAAGGTATAAACATAAAACCCAATAAACTCATAATGAAAGTTAAATAAATTTTCAATTAAAACAAACCAATTCATAATTAAATAAATAAAAATATAATTTAAACAATAAAATAAATTCCAAACCTATCCTTTTTTAAATTATGGGTATTACACACTGCAATTGAGGAAGTATCACAGTTACAGCATTTGGGAAAGACCATGTGGAGGCTGTGATGAATGAGTGAAGCTTTGTCTTGCTGTCATGTCTTGATTCATTTATTTGTTGAGGATAAACAAGGAGGTGTAGGGGACTAAGATGGCACCAATTATCAAACCAAAAATTAGTGATTCCTCTATCACCAATTTGTAGTTTGATAAGAGGCTTGATTTTCTCTCTGAAGCTCAGAATCTTCCTCCAGCTTCAAGAGCACTGCCTAGGTATCTTCACCTCCCAAATACTTCTTCCTTTAAGTAAGTAGGTTTCAATCCATTGTACCCAAAACATTTCTTTTGAACTGTTAATTCTCCAAAAGTGTTTCATGATGGCAGTTTCATTCCAAAAAGCTAGGTTAGGTAGCCTAAGACCCCCTAACCTCTTAGGAAGACAACATTTCTCCCAAATAACCTTCCCACTAATCTTTTTAAGAGCTGGACCAGTCCATAAAAAGGATCTAAAAATGCCCTCCAATTCATTAATGATGCTCATTGGAAGAACAAATTTTGAACTCCAATACATCTGTGTTGAGAAAAGCACAGCCTTGATTAGTTGAAGTCTACCTGCAAAGGAAAGATTTTTGCTTGTCCATTGGCTGATTCTTGAGGTTATTTTGTCAATCAAAACCCTACAATCAATGGCCTTCAGCATGGTAGTTATAAAAGGGACTCCAAGGTATTTTATTGGCAGATCACCCTTCTGGAAGCCAAAAAGTTCAAGGATGTCAGCCTCTAAATTAGCATGAGTGCGAGTTAGGAAAATGTTGCGTTTCCCATGGTTAATTTGTAGACTAGAGATGGAGGAAAATGTGTCTAGGGAGTACTTGATGGTTTGAAGAGATTGGATACTTACATGTGAAAAAAGCATAAGGTCATCTACAAAGATTAGGTGGGTAATGTTCTATTTTTTGTATCTCCAATGGTGTTTGAATGGTCTTTCCTTGGTGAATTTATTGACAATGAGGGAGAAGACTTGCATGACTATGAGAAAAAGAAATGGTGAGAGAGGGTCTCCTTGTCTTAGTCCCTTGATACTCTTGAAATGGCCATTGAGTTCCCCATTAATGGAGATGGAGAAAGATGGTGTTGATAAGCTAGCAGATGTGAATCCATTGTAAGAAGGTAGGAGGGAATCCCAAGAGACAGTATCAAAAGCTTTCCTTAATTATGTCAATCTTGAGTGCTCATTTAGGAGAGTTGGTTTGCTATGGTAACCATTGAGGAGCTCTTAGGCAAGAAGGATGTTGTCATCAATTTGCCTACCTTGAATAAAAGCAGATTATGCTGGACCAATAATGTGGGGTAAGATTGGTTTAATCTTGTTGGCTAGGAGTTTGGATATGCATTTGGAAATGGTATTGCAACAAGATATTGGTCTAAAGTCATTGGGGGTTGAGGGATTGGATGATTTTGGCACAAGTGAAATGTATGTGGAATTGATTTGGTTAAGTAGTTTACCATTGACAAAGAAATCTCTGATTGCCTTGGTGACATCACTGCCTATAATTGGTCATGCTTTCTTAAAAAAGAAAACATTAACTATAACTATCTGGGCCAGGTGATTTATCACTGCTTAGTAAGTGCATACAATTTTGGATCTCTTCATTTGATGGAATGGAGCACAGTGATGTGAAAAAATGTGGTGAAACAGCAGCTTGTATGAAAGATATAAGTGAATCAATACCTGGGTAGGAATGGGGATTCATCCCTAAGGCAGAATGGAAATGAGCTACCAGTTCCTTTTTGATATCAGCTTCAGTTTCCAATAGAAAACCATTGGCATCCTTGATAGCTGTGATTTTGTTCCTGTTGCATCTAGATGCAATTGATTTGTAAAAATAAGCACTATCACAATTTATATAGTTGAGGTGTTTTAAACCACTATCACTCACCGTCCGTGTCGCCGCGGCCACCACCATTTCTTTCAAATTAAAGAGTTTTCTTTCATCCCTCAAAGAGTGAAAGTAGCAATAAGACATTTTGGGTTTCGCTCATCGAATTTTGGTAATCAACTTCTTGATGCTTAACGTCACTTCCCATCTATCTGCAGAGATATGCTACGCCGACATGCAGGTGACAAATGAGCGATGAAGACTTTGCTTAGCTTCTGAATGGCATGATAAGATTGAGGTTCTAAAGTTTTTTGTATCTGTGTAGAGCCATAATCAGACCTTGTGAAATATTAGAAAGAGTTGAAGATTCTAAAATATTTGAGAGGTTTTAGATATGCGTAGGGAAGATTCTAAAAGTGCCGGAGTTTTGTATTGTTGTAAATGTGTGAATATTTATCTGGAGAGTTCTAGACAGTCTGCATGGTGTCTATAAATAAGGTGAGGGTCACAAGCTACAAGAGCAACCAATTAAAAGCCGGAATAGAAGTATTCTGGCAGCAGTGGGTGGGATCTGGAGTTTTAATAAGGAATGGGTGTTTGTGTTTGGCGCAAGAGATACAGTATTTAATCATCTCTATTTATGTATTACTAGATCAATCAACGTGCATTGCACGTAATGTAAATTATCTGTAATTATTTTTATTGTTTTAATTAATTTTATGTAAACATTATACCATAACTAAGTTTAATAAAATAGTAATGAATTTATTTTATTTCAAATGAATAAACCAAAATATATTTTGATAAATGTATATACTTTTTGCCATTATAAAAGTATATAAGTAATTAATTTGTAACCATTTTAATTGATAGAGACCACCTCCAAAATAATTGAAATATGTCTCAAATAGGTGAATGTGGATAAGAGAGCACACATCCTTGCTGAAGGGTAATAAATAGAGTCAATGTTTTTTTTGGGTAATTAAATAGAGTCAATGTTGCTATTTATTATTTATAAATAACAATTTATAATTATGATCTAATTTTAGTGTTTCTAACTGTCTGTTTTGCTTTTTTAGTATGAAATATTGTACAAGCTTTAACTGTTCCATTTCACATTGTTTCACATGAGTGAATAGTTACAACAAATCTAAAATTAATCATTAACTGAAGTCACAACCATCATTTTAAAATTTTAGGGTAAGAAGTTTATGGAAATTATAATTTATTAACTAATCCAAAGGTAATTTATTCAATAAATATGTATTAACATCCTTCTATCTCTATCTTTTTATATTTTGAACCATGCTAGAATTTTTATTCCTCAACTAAACACAATTAATAAACGTTATATTTTAGGTGGGATTGATCTCAATCGGTTGATTAAATTGTCTATTTAAACCTCTAATTTAGGCTGAGCCCCACTGTTGGGTGCTTGTTGCTTAAAATAATAAACACTACCACACTATTTCATTTGCCTTCCCAAGTGGAAGGGTGGCAGAGTTCAACTCTTTAAGCCATTCTTGAGTTATTTGTCAAGGGGAAAAAAAAAAAAACACACACACACATATAATTGGATTACTTGAACAAATTAACCCAGCTAATGAGTTTTATCGTCACATTATTAATCCAGATAGTCATTCAGTTCATAGCCAAAGTGTGATGTTCTTGTATGATGCATAGTTCTATTTTTTAAAAAAAAAAATTATCGAAATTAATATTGGTGGTAATATAATTTCCTCATTCATGTCACAAGTAGAAATTGTTAAATAATTAATGATGCCATAGTTTGAAAGCAACATTTTCAGAACCAATTTTAAGTATGGCTTTGCTGGTTTGAGTAATGGGAGGATAAGCATGACCTGATGCATACATATATTGAAAGTTAACTTTGCAGAACCAACACTAATTCTTGAGTCTTCCCCATCATCTAATTGGGAATAAAAATTAATGTTTTTATTCGGTCTGTATTTAGGTTTATTTAAGAATAACATCAATGACATAATTGGTTAATGTTCAATTGGACCAACTAGAAAATCAAATGGGAACTACTTTAGATGTTGATACATTACCCAAAAAAATAAAATAATATAATATACATATGTTTATATATATATTCTCTCTCTTACTTTCCTCCATCCAATTCTATATTATTCCATATTTTCCATCACTTTCCCACTAATTTACATAAGTTAATCAAATTCAAATTGTAGCCAAAAGGAGAAACTGAATAGCATTGAAAAATTTTGTCAATTTTGCACGCTCGACTTATATAACATTCTTCATTATACTATGGTTCTTGACAAAAGTCAATTCAGTATCAATAAATAATGAGGCATTTCAGTGATGCCATGATAGACTTGACCCGATGAATAATGCTCGAGTATTGATATTATTAGTAATTTCTTGGAATTTTTTAAAAATTAAGTTGGTATTTGAGTTTTCCAATGATGTAATCAGATGTCGATCAACAAAATATTTTATGATTTTTATCAATTTTTGTGGACTTCAGGTTCTGACTTTAATTAAAGAGTAAATTACAACATTTCACCTTTATTACTTTAAGATTTGGCGCTTTATATATATATATATATATATATATATATATATATATATTTGTACACATTAGAAGCACTTGTAAGCTAGGGCAACATTCTATAAGCTCTTTCATAATTATTTATCCTCTTTTGCTCTCTCTCTCTCTGAAGAAAAATAAATAAATGGTTACCAAGACTCAAGTTGCTATTGTGATACTCATGTGTGCTTCTTTGATGATAGTTTACTTCATGATTGCTACTGATTTCAAGTAACTCTGCATACATGTACATATATATATATATATATATATATATCATGTAGATACAAATATTAACTGATGTTTTTGTGTTTTCTTTCGTTTTGCAGAACTTTATGTATGAATGCTGCTCCTTTTATATTCATGTTATTAACGGATTGATCATTAGCTTTCAAGTACAAGTGGTGGAGCATGGAGAGAACAACCAGAAGACGTCCATCGGTAATTTTTGTGTACCAAATTTGCTTAAGATTTTTTTTTTGAACATAGATCATTAATTGAACTCCAAATTATTTCCTCTCTGATCAGATATTAAAAAAAAAAATTACAATTTTTACTCTTTAAGAACAACGAAATTCTATGAAATCACCGAATTAATTGAATCAGTTAGATTGAAACTGATGGCTGATCCTCCTGTGGACTCTCCGATCAATAGGCGCATCTTAAATGATTGGGATATTCCTTGGTCTATTCTATGTCCTCCTCCAAGACCACCATCGACCTCATCTTCGTGGATGCTACATCCATGGCCAGTCTCGTTACTACTCTTGTCATTTCCATTAATGTTGTTGCTATTTCTGGATATTTTTATTTGTTTATTTGGTTACATAAAGTTTATTATGTCGGGAAGCGCTCTCAGCCTCTCACCATGTATGCATTGTATCCATAAAATAAAAGTTACCCAAAAATAAAATCATGGTGTGAGGTTATATGTGTGTGTGTGTGTGTATATATTATATGCATATGTTTCTTGACGTGTGGTGCATATTATATATAGCTCATTCCAATTCAGGGACGACCCAATGTGAGAGGGACAATAATAACTTTTTTTTAATAATTTCAGGGAGACAATTGTAATATTTTAATGCATAATTGAAGAAAATAAATTAATAGAGATATCTTAATAATAAATAAATAAAAATGGGGGTGGTCCCTTTAATTATTTGTTTTCAACAAGTAAGCTAAAATCTCCGACTTATGCAGAACCGTATTGTTGGGTATTGTAGCTTAAAATAATAGTAACACAATTACATCACAGTGCAATATAGATAAATCACAAAATTTAACACTCATGCAACAAATTTTAAAAAATTATGAAACATATTTATATTAAAAATATAAACCTCAAACAACATATTACATCGTGATTCGTGGGCTATATTATAATGGCATTGAATCAAAATTTTTATGTATTTACTTAATTATTTAATTTAGAGTAGTTCTAATTTTTACTGAAAATAATGTTGATGGTAATATCTTGTCATATAAATAAATAAGGGTGGTAATACATGGAGCTTCCAAATCCAATTACAAAAGTCCAATCCATGATGCCATAGACACTCGTAAATGAATGTAAAACAATAAAATTTATATTCTTTTAGAAAAAAGGGAAATAAATTTTTTTATGAATACCGCTAGCGACGGTAGCAAAGGACTTTTGTAACTTCTCGCAAAAATGGTAATTGTGGCAATTGTGATAAATCTCATCGGTTAAAAGAACTCGGTGATGTGAGGTTTGCAAAGTTATTCAACATACCTTGTAGTTCGAATGAAACTAACATTCAACAATCGTTCGATTTCTATCTTGACTTCATCCATCACCTCTTGTGACATGCGGCGAGGCGGCTAAGAGAGAGATTGACTAGAGAGGAGGTTCTTGTACATTTTCATAAATGGCAAAGACTAAGAAACACCTTATCCAGCACTTACCAACCTTACCATGGGCTGATTAAAAAGTTTTGTATTTTAAAAACATATATGTGGCTTTTTAATTTTACTTATTTTAATAATTAATCAATTAATCTCATGCAAGATAAAATAAAGTAAGGTAATAAAATTAGAGATGACACTAGAATTTTTAGCGAGGAAATTCAAATTGGTAAAATAAACCAATTGTTTGCGTGGGAAAAATTTCGTGGACTATGCAGTCCAAGTAAACCGATCCACTATATTTGAAATAAAGTACAATGAATTTTGACTCAGACTCACACCCTATCGTTCTACCAAACACCTATAACTGACAATCATCTGGCTTTGCGACATCCCGTCCAATAGCACTTAACATCAGGCTTACTCTTGATCTCTGTAGAAGGATTGCTGATAGATCAAACAACACTCTTCGAATGTTTTGACCCTTTCAAAGTATGATCGCTTCACCTTTGTTCTTCAATATCTGAATCTGTAGAAGAAGTAATAGATCTGTTTTTCTGATAGTTGTAGATGCAAGACTTTGATCATGATAAAGATTTGAACAACACTCTAAACTCACTCTTGTGTTTATGTGTGCGTTTTAGAAAAAATGATAGAAAAATCAACTTTGATTTTCAGCAAAAAAAACCCTCTAAGGCTTTTAAAAATTATGAAGTTGTATTGCAAAAGCTGTACAAACCTAGATGAGAATCAAGGTTTATATAGAATATTCAAAGACCTAATCATGCATAAGAAAAGGGAATTTTCGTGCATAGGACTTTTGATAGTATTCTAAACCAATTAGGAAGTTTTAGACAGAACAGGAAATTGGAATCCTAAACTGTATAAGCAGGTGGTATCGGTAGCCACATTTGGACCCGGTTAATTTTCAAAGGATATAATGAAATCTTCGAAGCTAAGGTTCTTGAACCGGTTCCCAAACTTGGTACCGGTTCTTACTTGACAGAATTCTGAAGAAAGGTTTCAAACCAATTTGAAAAAACTCTGTTTTTGGAAACTTTGAAGAATTGGATACTCTGAATGAACATACATGGTTGTTCTTTCCTTGTTCGTAAATCTCAGTATGAACAACCTTTCAATTGCGTAGCTGATCTCAATCTTGATATGGTAACTTGAAATTACAACTCGATCAGACTTGTTTTGACATCAAAATTTACCAATTACAAAAATTATATCTCACGTCACTTAGTATGGTCCAAACCACTCATTCCTAAGC